TAATATCAAATTATTTTCTAGAGAGTTACTATTCTGAGGAAAGGCAACTTTTACATTTCTTTTCCCTGAGCATACTACATACGTTAATATTTAAACGCAGACACCTAACTACTAGACACCTAAGACAATATTTCTTCTTGCTCTTGGGAAAACGCATTGTTTATATTTCCACACCTGGTAGAAATGTATCTATTATACCAGTAACAAGAAAGAAAATATAAAGCCTTTCGGTGTTTTTCTTGGGGTTATGCCTCCCTGATACTGAAGTTGCCTCATCTCTGGTTTAAGTGAGAAAAGCCTAGAAACAATTCTAATTCACACCTGTTTGCTACCGTGCCCGTACAACAATATGCCAGTGGAAAATTAGCCAAGAGCACATGTTATTTCCTCTGTCCTTTCTCCAGTCCCCCTTCTCAACCTGTGAGTTCTGGGACATGGTGAAGTGGGAAGGAAAGGATGACTGTGGCTGGTACAGGGCCTGCCTATGAAAGCCTCGAGCAAACTGGAAGCTTCCTCCTGCTGGGGAGAATTCTTACAACATCAGGCAGGGTCAGAAAAAGGAACTGCATCAATGAATTATATTATTGAAGTACTATATAGTTATTAGAAGACTTAATAACTTATTTGTAAAGAAATTACTGTACCCAGTGTTCATTATTACTATAAACCAAATAAAAACATCAGTGCCTTCCCAGCAAACGCAAAACACACCTTTTCTTGCTAGCCATCCCACTGCAGCATAGCAAATCAAACCGAACAATTAACGTCCAGTCCTTGGTGGCAGGTGGGGAAATACTCTAAACGCTATTACTTGGGAAGCAATTGTAGGTATGAAAAGCTCCAAATAATAAACAATACAATTATGTTTGAGGACAAATCTGTAAGGTTTTCATATGAGTGACTTAATTGCTGGTGACACATACAAAGCTGCATAGCTACACCATCATCCTGTCTACTGTTCAGACATATAACTCCAGTGTCCACCTCAGATCCCAAATTTACTCCAAATCCTAAAATTCATATTCATAATATGCAGATACTTTCAGTGCAACATTTCCAAGATGGTATTTTTCTTAATCCTTCCAATCATCTGAAGCATTCAATCAGGTTATCATCACCATTGCATTTTGATTCAGCAACATTTTTCTCTCTGCTTTTGAGAAACGCAACCTAGTATCACTCACATGCATTCAGAAAACTGCTGCAAAGAACCTTCTCCTAGTCGATCACTTGGAGAACTCACCACTGTCTCCAAAGCTCTCCCTGACTTCTCCTGTAATATTTGTTACTTGTATTCATTTTCAAGGCCCTTCCTCACTTATCACCGCCACACCTATTGTTCCTTAATCACCGTCAGGAAGCCAGCTGTGGTTTGCTAGCATTTGAAGCCAGGCCAATTTTCATGAAACATAAAGCTGAAAAGACCGTTAGATCATACTGTCCAATTTCTTTATTTTAGTGTTTGGCTAAAACACTTTCAAAACCCCCCAACTTTTTACTGAAAATAAATAAATAAATAATCAGAGATTCTTCTTGTATTTTTTCCCTTCCTATCTCCCACCTGTCATTCAGTGTCAGGAGTCCAGCTTCCAGCTCCTCTCTCACCCACATTATATTTTCAAGTGAACCTCTTATGCCTTTTCCTGTTTTACATCTTACACTTTGGGGAAACTCCCTTAAAGATTTGAAAACATACTTCATTGCTGTTCTTCAAAGCTTTCTCTGAAATTCAGCTTACTAAGATGCCCCTACAGCCCCTACAAGCAAAATATGCAATAAGAAGGTATATACACACCACTTATTCTTAAGTATCTAAAGTAGGCAAGCGTGGGATGTTGGGGGATAGATCCTCCTATACACTAAATGGAGAGAGGTTCCTGTTGAGAGTGATTTTGATGAAGGAACTCCTAAAACATTCAAAGCTGTCCTCTAAAGGAGTCTCTGGATAAGCTGTGGAAATGGCCTAGGGAGATCAGTCTTTTGATTCAGGTACATGAGTTATACACCTGAAGTATGAATGTCCCCCCTCAACTCCTATTATCTCCCTTCTCATCTGTGTGTATTTTCTCTTTGCAATAGTATTATATTTACACTGCAAATATTAGGATTGTAGATAATCTTTTCAGCCCGTGTTTGTGTGGTGCTTTAGCATCACAAGAACTTCAGTGCCCAACACTATCTTACAATAATACAAAAACAATCTTAAACTGCTATACAGCATTTCATTTAACAATACCTGATCATGTAAGTATCATACAATTATGCACACATGCCAGGTAGAAGATACACAACTATGCATCAACTGTCTTATTTTCTAAATTTCTTAATCCTATAACAAAGAGCTGAAATGTGTTCATGGCTGGCACCAGTTGCTTTTCTCCCCAGTCTGAAGGATGGGCAAATCCTCAAAACAATTCAACACAGTGAAAGAGAAGGGAGAATAAGAGTGATGGGAAGGTATACGTGGATCCAGGATGGATACAGAATTTTTGGCAGAGGAAGCATGGTGTGGGGGGGAAACAAACCATGGAAACCCTTGTCATGTGTGGGACAGATGTCATAAGATATTTTCTGAAACAATCTATGAGTAAATGGTAAAATGTAAAACTGGTAAGGTAAAAGTAAGAAATATATGGAGCTCCTTCACATACGAGAAGAGTTCATGCCCCATAATGCATGCTTCTCCCTGTTAAATTTACTGAACTTTAAATATACCCTAATAAAAAGGAGATTTCAGTAACATGAAGAAAGTCCCTAGAGCCCAAAATAAGGAAGCAAACCCACTAGATATATCTTACATGCCAAGAAAATCTCCAAGTCTACAAAAACATGCTTGTTGCTGGGAAAGATAATAAAACATTATGAAGAAACAATGAGCTTCAAGAAGTTACTTGAATCTAATAGGAGTCTCATACAAATTTGGAAATCTAATTCTAGTACAAACAATAAGCAAAAGTCATAGCAGTCAGCATGTACAAAAGAAACAGAACAGAGCGACTACTACTGCTGATGATCTAGTTCTTGCTTCGGATTTATTCATCCAGGTAACAGAAGTTCTTTTAAAGGCTGAAGAAGAATTACTCCTGAAGCAATCAAACAAAAAAAACATCTAAGACACAGACAGTCACAGATCAAAACCTGATGAGAATAAACAAGGCAAAATATTGGATTAAATGATCAATTTCATTATAATAAATTTCATTAATGGCAAAGAGTTAATTGCAAAGTGGATCAAAAGAATGTATTTGGTCCTATGTTATGGTATAGTTGTTAATCATCTAGAAACTGAGGCGAGTACCATGTCATAAAACCTGCTATTATTTAGGTTACTTGGAATCATGGAAAACTGCTAGTCTAACTAAAATTATTAAGCAGACCCCAAAAATGCCAAATCAGGTTTAATTGATGATAGATAACAAACACATACTAAAATAAGCCCAAGAGAAAACAGCCTCTGTTTTATGAGGTTTCAAATTAAAGGTGCAACAGTAGGGAACTTAGTGTAATAAAACTCAATGTGTTAGGCAAGGAGAAGGTAAGTTACCTACAAAATCTCCAGATAAGTTGACATTACTCACAGAAATTTATCCTTCCACAGATTTAATTCACTCACACTCTTATGCTCATTACTCACAAGCACTGAGACTTCTCTCTCCAAATGGTCTGGCCAAGATCACTTATAAGCAAAGCAGGAGACAAGGGCCATCAGCTATTAAGTCTTCACCCTGTTTCAGGGGTTGTTCTTAATTAGCAGTCAAAACCTAGTTTTTTGAGCAGATCCTTTAGGATATCCTTCAGGAATCATCAGCTGTGACAAGACAGTCCTTTGCCTCAGGATCCTGCTTACCTAGCCTTCCATAAATTTTAGGCCATATTGCTGCCCATTATCTGGTCCTCCTTGTTAGACATATGTCTGAAATGTATGCCTGCAATCTCTTCTGTTTGGCTAACAGGAAAAAGAACTGTGTATGTGATATACTACAGCCTTGCTGCCATCCTCCTGCTGTTAGGATGTAAGGTCTTCCGCTGGCAAGTCATCTGGGCTGTGGCACACAGATACTGCTGGAAATGGTGTCCTGGAAACAGCATCCTTCGTTATCAGTACAGGCCATTTCTTTAACCCTTTGTTTCACTATTTCACCTTATGCTTACACATACATTTCCATCCATGCAGCATTTATGCCAGTCTTAATACTTCTGTTGCAATGCTGCATAGTTTCATGCTACTTAAAGTGATCTGATGAAGGCCACTGCAGAGAGGACACGTTCATACTTCTGCCTCCTCCTTCTTTTGCCATGTGCTCCTCTATTCCCCCTGCAACAACAGCAACAGCTGTCACTGGTAAGCCTGCTCAGGGAACAAACCAAGAGAAAAATCAACCTCTTACTGGTAAGACTGGGATTGCTTTTTAACAGTGTAGTTGCATGCACTGGATCCCTGGGGCAGATGAATGCCAGTGTCAGGCGCAAGGGAGGTGGTAGGACTGCCTCTCTTTAATGGAAGTCGTTCATCAGATCAGCTGTGCCGTAACGGGAAAGAACACCAGATGCTTTGGCTTCAGGAAGGAACCAGGGCACCACTTCAGCAGCTTAGTGAAAAACCTCCGCTCAATATGCTACTACAATCAAAACAAAAATAATAAAACAGGCTGCTTAAACAACTGAAGAGAATTAGAAGAAAGCCTGTGTAATAGGATTACAAAAATCAGTGTTGTGACCTTACCAGAAAAAAACCCACAAGGTACAGGTCACCCCTGCTCCAAAAGGATACTAAAGAACTGGAAAGGGTTCAAATGTGAGCAATGATAAACACTGAAAATATTCTATGAGGAGAAATTAGGAAGTTTAAAATCAAGAGTATTATGCGTGGACAGATAAAATAATAACTGCTCTAGAGAGGTCAGATCAGACATTTCTATGCTTGCTAACTTACAACACAAGAAAAAAAATACAGAGAAACATCCAAAGTGAGGAAAATTCAAAACTGATCAAAAGTGGTTTTCACATCATATGTAATTTATTCATATTGATTATTAAGGAAATTCAGTTATTACTGTATATACAATGTCCCTATCAACAACAGTATAGATCAAAATGGTTACTATGTAAAGAAATAGGGAAGAAACTTATTTGGAGTTAACATCAACCGAAGCACTGGGATACATTTACTAGTGAAACAGAAAACTGTATTATGGTTTAAGCCAATATGGTAACTCCTATGTAAAAACATCAATTAAAAAAAGGGAATAGCAACTTGATTTCACTATTGAACTTTTATTCACAATCTCGCAGTAACTTTTATAAAAGTTTGCTTTAAATGCTATTAATTGCTCAATCACAACAGTATAGTCATAGAAGATTTTGAAACAACTAAAGTTTGGACACATTAAGCTCTTATGTCAGAAATAAAGGCAAACACATTAAAAATGAAAATCAGCATGACTATAAACTCATTTTCTCCATCACTGCAGGTTCTATCTAAAGTGTGTTTTCGCTCATTTCCAATCACAGCCAGTTTATTAGAAGTTTGTCTATTTTTCAAAGACCTGAAATTGAACATTTTCCCCCCTACCAATTTTTTCTTTTTTTTTTTTTTTAAGGGTCATTTTAACAAGGATTGTCATCACAGATCTTGCTAAAAAGCACCCAGAAGTGACCACTTACTGATGACCCACAAACAAGGTAGCTAGAAATACCTTAAGGACTAGTTCCTTAGTATGCCACCACTATACTGCTGGGTTATCTTGATTAGATCATCCTGGTTTAGTTTGAAATCCATACTGCCACAGCACATACTAGAAAACACATTATCCCACTGTATTATTAACCTGCTATGTCATTACAAAGACACAGAAAATCGTAGTTCTTTCTCAAAGAGCAGAGAGTCTTAATTTTATTAAGATAGGCAAGGGAAAAAAAAAAAAAAAAAAAACAAGAGAGAGTGTAAGGATAGAGCTTCATGTATTTTGTTTGAGTTTTTTATACTGTGTCTGGGACGGTAAAGAGAACATAGTATTGTCTGGGGGCCAGGGGATAGCGGGGGAACAGGAAGGAGAGATTGCCAGCACTGCCAAAGCAAGGAATGGACTTCATGGGTTAGTCAGTGGCTGGGTCAGGTAAACAGGGCAAAAATCAATGGCTGAAGCATCACATAGGACAATAGAGGGTACAAATGAAGACTCAAAAGGTCAATAATATAGACAGCACAAAGAAACTGAAAGATCACCCAGGAACTCCTTCTTGGAGAGAGAGAATGCAGCAGGTACCAGGACGAGAGAAACTGAGAAATTTAAAGAGCTACCTAAACTTTGTGCAGTCACACTTGAATGTAGGTACAGGTACTGGTTCTGTTAGAGAAGGAAATTTCAGTCGATGTACAGCTGTGGGTCTGAGAAGACCTTACTGTCTGCAAGGTAAAAAACATAAAAGCAAGCCAACAAGTTGCAGAAAGGCAATATACAATTTCTGAACCCACAAGGCAACATACCTTTCACCTGTGTTCTGAAAACAGCAGACCATTCACCACCAGGAAATTGCAACATAAAATTTATTCCCCTTCTTTAAGTTACTCTGTTTTGCAGATGACATAGGCTGGGAATTTGTGAGTCAAAGAATTGTCGCTTGCCAGATTTGCCTTTTAGTTGTATAGCTTTTGCTTGTGACCATCTTAATAACATACTCCATTGACAAATATTGATCATTTTCTAAAATAAAAGGGACATTTTGCTTTTCTAAAGCTATTGTATTACATGCCTGAAAATATGTACTGAATATACATAACTTGAAATACACTTCACTGTATGTTTACCTGCAAAGCTGTACCACACACTTTTTTCTTTTTGAGTAGGCAACTGCAATAAACTCAACTCATGGGGGAAAAGGTATAAACTAACTTCATTTAGATGTGAAGAAATTTCTTCTTAAAGGCATTTCTTCGCTCATTCCGATAGTATGAAAGCTATTTATTTGGTAATAAAAGCTTTTGGCCTGAAACAGACATTTCTGAGCTTCTTGTTGATGATCAATGTACAGTTTAAGAGAGCCATTACTTTGTGACTGGCGCTATAGAAGCCAAGTGTCAGATAATATATCAGCTTCTGCTCCACTTTAATTCTAATTTAATGATCAGAAGTCTCTTCTTAATGTCTTGTTTTAAATATTAAACTGCAAAGAGTTCAGCAGGGCATACAGTAGTTACCGTAAGAGTAGAACACCTGCCTTTTAGTGTATCATGTAGACATGATACAGAAGATATCTTAGTATGAGACAAAGCATATTTTAAAACATAAACATTTGCCACAATCTGCTGTATATCCACTAAAGGAAGACCTACGTTTATGCTACATATGCACAGAAGAAAACTGACATTAACGAAGCAAAAAAGTTACTTCAACTCACATGGTAAACTTTCAAGTTGTACTTATCCTTTGGTCTGTGTGCTGTGCAAATTATTTTCCTGAAATGAACAAGGTATTTCTTGCCATTTTAAATGCTTTCATCTATAATTATTTACACTCCTTTCTCCACGGTACACAGAAGCTCTAGCCGGGAGAGTCTCCGTTCCCGTACGAGGCCCAGGACCGCGTAGGAAGGCACGATCCCGGCACCACAAGGCTCACAGGGCGCTCTCACCTGCGTTAGAAAAACGCACCGTTTCCCTCTAGCAGCAGGAAAAAAAAAAAAAAAACAAAAAAAACCACAACACTACAGCAGCGCCAGAGGACCCCGACCGCGGGCCTGTTAGCTAAAGGCACTGCGAGGGGTGTAAATCACCACCGCCAAGGCGGGCAGCACCGCGCCTGCCGCCCGGGGAGGCGGGAGGAGCTGAGGGAAAAGCCCGGCGGCGCGGGCCCGGCCCCGCGCGCGCCGCGGGCAGCCAATGGGCGGCGGGAAAATGTCCGCGCGCCGCCGCCCCCGCCCCCCTCCGCCGGCTGTCCCGTCCCCCGCCTCAACCGCCCCTCAGGGCCGGGGCGGGAGGAGCCGCCCGGGGTCCTAGTGCCGCCGAGGCCGGGCCCTGCTCGTTCTGACGGAGACAGTGCCCCGGTGGCGCGGGCAGCTGGGCCCCGGCGACCGTCTGACTCCCGGTATCGCTCTCCTAAAGAACCGAAGAGCGCTTGAACGTGCTGCTGTGCAACACCCCCCTGTGCTGGGTTCCGCCGCCCCGGGAGAAAAGGACTGAAAGCTTCAACGGGCAAAGGGAAAGGTCAGTACCTGCAGCACCTGGCATCAAACCTGCCTCCGCTTATAGGAAACCCCAATTAGATCCTCAAAGTCGGCCCTAAACTTAACCTTAGAGCTTGCGCATCTTCATCACGCAGTACAGGAGAGGAAAAAATCATTAAGGCGGGTGGGGAAGTGAGAGCAGGACTAAAACTGTACACGCTCTAGCACACACTAGTAGGATTCCAGGTTCACTCCTAGCAAATGAAGGATCTTGACAAGCCAAAGACTCGGAACAGAGAAAACTGCAGGAACAGCAGTCTGGTGGGGCGGCTTTTACACCTGTGGATGTGGAACACACAGCACACCCAGCTTCTGGCTTGCTGTTGCTCTGAGGTTCATGAAAAGCGAGGCGGAGGCACTGCCCTCTGCATCTACAGACCCTTCTCTCACACATCCATCTGGCCTGAGCGCCGATTCCTGATGTCTTTTCACTTTGCTACCTCCTCCCTCTCCTTGCCCACCACTTGAAGATGAAACAGTAGTGTTGTTTTATCCTTATACATTTTACACTCTTTTAGTGAGACATCCTTAAGTGACCCAAGATGACTTGGTCTGGGGTGCTAGAATTAGAAACAGGATTGAAATGGCTACTTTTATTGCCTTCCAGTGTCTCCTCCGGAAATTGTGATCAATTTTGTTAATAGTTGCACATAGTTTTCATTAATGTGTCTACAGTCTTGCAGCCCAAACCAGACAAGAGATGGCCAGACAAGCTCCACATCAGTGGAAGCAGAGTTAGGTGAGCATCGACAATCTCCTTCTGAAAAAGAACAGGGACATAGACAGAAAAACTCACACACAGTGTACAGCTACGAGTAGTGTTAAGTGAAAAATTGATGGGAAGACCACTCTTTAATATAAATATACCTGTTCACTTTGGCATAAACTCCTCCACTACATATTATGAATTGTACAACAGGAATGTTATTTAAAAGCCAAAATACCTGACTCATGATACGTTGTATCTATTCTACCACAGCATTCTGTCTTACTCCTTCCAAAACCACAAGTCTGTTGTCCAGAGAACAAACATTCTGGAGCTATATACATATTTTCAATATACAAATCAGTGCAGGCTTAGAGTTAATACTACTACATAGCACATGAAAAAAAAAAAAACAAAACCAAATCAAACCAAAACAAAACATCCTAACAATATTGGAAAAAGTTTACTTCATGTACTTTTCAAAACCCTGCCTATCACCTTGTTGCTGTGAGTGTACATTTTATCTCCATATTACAGATACTAAAGATGTGTAGGACTAGAACCCTGGGCCAGTTTTAGACCTGCTTCTTGCAGTGTTCCAGTATGAAGCTTCTGTAACATAAGTGATAATTTGTGTCACATGTTGTCAATAGGTAAATCTGTTTTGTCTTTCACATTTTTATTAAACAAGGAAAAATTAAATTGGTAGGAAAGCCAAAATTAAAGGAGAGCCAAGAGCACCAGAGGCCAACTGGTTCACTCTGATGAGCATTTTCACAACGTGGAGAGCATTAGATTTGTGCTATCAACTTCCCAAATAAAAGCATTTCTGAATCTGTCTAAATTATTAAAAAAATACACAGGTGGCAATGGAAAGCAAATACTTCTATAGTCTCTCATCAGATAGTCCAGAAATGAATATGCTGAAACTGTGCCACTTTACAAGGGAAAAAAAAAAAAAAATTAGTTTCTCAGTTCCAACTTACGCTCACAAGGCAGATGTAGCCTACAAACTCAGCAAATCAACAGTGTGAAAAAGAGCAATCAGACATGGTAAAACACAGCTTTTTAAAAGAAAATACATTCAGTAAGTAATTGATAGCACACACGTCCAATGTGCATAAAACTTCTCAAGGATTCAAACAGGCATGAGTGTCTTGCACATTTTTATATGTAATGGCATCAAGTTTCACTGTGGGCTGCAATATTGAGGGCATGCCTTTAGGCAGGCATGTTCATTTAACATATGAGTCATTCAATGTGGAGACAACATAACAGAAACATCCACAAACTAATGAATTGTGAAAGAACTATAACATTTTCCCCCTCAGGCTTCCACCTACTAAAGTGTCACAAATAAAGTTAATATCAGAAAAATGATTTAGCAAAAGAGGAATTAAACACTAAATGACAGTCCACTCTTTTACAAGTCAATCACTTCTTTTAACTGTGTTTATTTGAAGCAATACCAGTCAGTACAGTCACCTTAGAAAAGGTCAACAGAAAAAGACACGCCAGGCTAGATTTTTATAACTGCTGCAACTACAGATAAGATACCTCTATGACATGGAAATTGCAAACTAGTTTTTTCTTCACTGATACCGTCCTTCAGAAGTTGAGGGGTTTTAAAACTAAGAGCTCACTCCTCCCCTCCCCCCTTCCGAAAAGTTGGTTTAAAATACAAACAGATCAAATAAATAACAAAACACTTGCCATGCAATGGACCAGAGTGAAAGATTAGCCTGGCAAAAAAAGTTATGAGCAGCCTAACTTCCTCATCCCAAGTTACCGCGATAGCCTACAGAATCACAGCAGTTTAAAAAAACCACTTGTAAATATATCTAAGCAGATATCTAAGCTTGTATCCATATATCTAGCATGCATACTTGTCCACTGCAGCTAGAAGAATCTAGTATGCCTTTACATTACAGTTTACAGTTGCTGATTTGTGTTTTGCATTTTGGCACTGGAATGAGTGCATAGCACTTTGAGGGCCAGATTTTATCTCCCACCCACCTAGAAAGCAAAAACGAAAAGCTGAATGTTGCAGAAAGGGATATGAAATAGAAGTCACTAATAGTCACTTCCATACCAATCTAATTTCAAATGAGGAGACTGCTTACATTAATCTTTTCAGGTCTAACTTGTACACTTTTAGGGGGCCTTTGGAGTCTGGCCGCAGACCTCTCAGGAGTTCATCTACTAGTCACTCTCTGTACTTCCTCTCCCAGTACCTTCGTGAGGATATTCTGGTTTAATTAATGCTGCCTTAGGTACCTGTTAAGTTATGGTGCAACTGAGTACAGTGCAGCTGGATTCTGTCAGCTAGGCTGGTACTCCTCCCCACCAAGACACACTACAGTCTTGCTGCTCTCATCGGGTGCCCGTAGGAGGTATCCGTGTTAGCACAGCGATGAGTCTGAGCTCCCTATCCTTGCCTCTCAAGGGGGCTAAGGCCTCTGACAGGCACGCAGTGGAGCAAACGCTGTTACTACTCTCAGACATTAACCACCACCCCTCTGACCAACATTATCCGTCTGATTAATGCCTAATCTGCTTGGGAATCAGCTTCCTGAGCCACCACAGCTTTCAGCATGGCATGGGAAAATTAAGAATTCTTGAGGTGTGTCAAACCCCTAATTTCACTGGAAGTAGCATGCTGCTGGAGCAGCTACCTCAGCTATGAAACTAGTTCATCAGAAAAACACTCAGTCTCTGTGCTGCTCTTTTTTACGTAGTATATACATACCCAGGACCTCAAAATACCCTTAAGAAAAAGTTTTGAGAACTGCCAGCTATTACCAGAACAATTCCACTGCAATACCAAACACCAGTGGGATTCAAAGTGTAGGAGCTAAAAGGGAGGCACAAATTCTTTGTGAATTTCAAGAAGTCAGTATGTACACAGATAAGAACATAATTACTTTTGGTGAAAACAAGAATTTTTGCTTAAGGAGTTGTTGGCCTAAGCTATTTCAAAGACTAAATTTAAAGGAACCACTTCTACTATACTGTAGTTACAGTAAAACTTCCACTGGTGTTTCTGCTTGCATTTTCTAATTGTGTACATTATTTATATAGTATGAAACTTCCAACAAAGTAGTACTAGTGTAGTAACTTAGCATGCTGCTGTTCTTCTACTTTTTTTTTTTTTTTAAACCTATACAAGGATTAAAAGTTTCCAGCTGTGATTAATTTGTCATTAATTTGTCAATAATTACATAAGTGTTTTGTTTCTCCTGCAAAGTTGGAGGCAGTGCCTGTTAGAACAGTTACACGAGTAGTGATGAAATATGCCACAAGAGGTTAGTTATAACATACTCTAAGTATACTCTGAGTGGAAAAAAAAAAGCTGTTTTTTTAAATGACAGTTCAAAAATATTCAGTTCTAAATGTTCAGAGAAACAGGCTCACAAACAGGAAGCCATCCATGGCCACTAACTACTTTTCTTGCATATAAGAACAGTTAAAGTATCTTTTTATTTCAGAGATCACTGCTAAGTAAACTAAAGTTGTTGTACACTGTTTCAGAATTTAAAATACTGCACGATATAGAGCAATCCTTCTACTTTTCACATTTCAGAAGAAAATTTTAATGAAACAGACACATCTTCAGAGAGATAGAAAAAACCATTTTACTGAGAACTACCATGTACTGTTTCATAAATTACATGCAAATTCTTACCAGAATGCCACTGCTTTTGAAGATGCCATAGCCATTGTTATCCTTAAGATATCCATTCATATCCATCATTAGTATCCTGCTCATTTTGCACTTAAGCTTCAGAATGGATTTCTGACAAGCAACTCGCACCTACCAAAATGGTTTCTAGAAAGCAAATTTAAAAGCTGTAAAACATGGAAAACAAACCAACAATTTACAAAGCACTGCAAATGCAATGCAAACACAGTCAATATAAAATTCATTTTGAAACGCTCATCATATTATGCTGGACTGTAATATAACTACAGTTATTGTACTTTTAAATCACTAGTTCACCTATAGAAAAACTGCAAGAGCAAAGTTCGTCTTACCCTGTTAAATCTCATATACTTCATCTCATTAGAGGTAGTCATTTGCCTAGAAGTGATTTCTTATAAAAAAAGCAGGTAGAAAGAATATTATTCTTAATCATATTTAGGGTCTTCTAAGGACTAATGAAAACTGAAGTTCCATTATGCTGGACAGCGCATAAACAGAACAGTAAAAGTTCCCCCGATCATATAAAAAACGACAGTCTAAACAGATAAGGCAGCATGGGGGGAAAGTTCACACGCAGCACAAACAGCATGATTGTAGTAAATGTAACAGTAGCTCTATTTTGGGGGTGGCTTTTGCTTGGAAAGAAAATGGAAGGAGATACAGAGTAAGGAGGGCAGACTGGGTGAGGTGAAACATGAAGTAAGCAGGATTGAAGCAGATGTAAAGAGGCAAAATGGACAGAAAGAGGGTGGAACAAACAGCCCATGAGCATAGGACAGAGAACGGCTCATTTAATCCAGTCACTGTTCTCTGAATGGTCAAAGGTCCCTGGGCTTTTGGCTTTCTGTTCCTGCTAGTTAGTCTCTGACTAGGTCCTTTCTTTACTGCTCCCAGGCTTAGAGCAGAAGGGTTATACTGATTTTCAGTCTTGTCCCCATCATGATCCCCTCCCCACCTTTTAATATGGGATCAAGGTCTCTCCCTCACCTGTAGCTTTAAAACAAAAATCATCTGAATCTGTTCAACATGTTCTTTATGGAAGGAGCACATGCAGATCATCCTTATTCACAAGTGATCCAAATTCTGATATTCTGACTTCAACTTTCTTAATTGTTTCTTAGGTAACACATACTTGACACGATTCATTTACACAGCAGAAAAGCGAGGCAAGACACCGATCCATTAAAACAGCAGTTGAAAGCTTGATCAGAGTATGTAAAACATTGTGTTTCATACTGAACAAGAGAGTTAAGCTAGGATTTGGGGTGGGGACAGTTGCTCTAGAGGCTCTGGTGCATGCAGCCAAATGAAAATATTCTAACCATTCACAGTAAAATGTACTTATTCTAGTATTAACTGAATAGATTAGGTTTATATTAGACAGGAGGATGCATTTTTATTGTCAAAACACTCATCATTTATATCCTCTAGCATAGATGGAGGTAAGTCAGTGCAAGTTTGCCCACAAAGGCAAATCAAACCTATGAAACTGAATTGGTGTAACTTTTTATGGGGCTCTATGGATAAGGGCAAATAAACCAGAATGAGGTCACTTTCTTCTGGTATAAGGTCTCCAATACAAATAGTTTATGCAGGCACAGTAACTGCAATATAATTAAAAACAATTTCTGGAATTGGGACAGCCCTCCTAGGTTGTTTCTTTCTATGCAGAAATAGGCTCTTAATATATAGTTTTATACTGAAACAGCTTTATTCACGCTATGGGGAAAGATACTTTAGTTACGCTAGTACAGATAAGGTAGCAAAATGTCTGATAGAGAACTTAGTGTCTCAGATATAGTCTCTTTACCTATTGCAAGATAGTTGCAATATTCCTGGTGCAGGCAAGGCTTTAGAGTACTAATTCTTAACTTAAAAAATAATCCCTCCTGTGTAATTCCCAGAACATCGTCAACCTTTGAAATGTCAATGGAATTACTAGAGAAAAAACAGACTTTGAGTTTCTGCCAGATTCTGTCAGGAGTTCAGCTGACAAGGGTTTTCTGTGTGCCACTCAGGTGTCACTCTTTTCATAATACTTTTTCTTTTAAATTTTTTTTTTTTTTCAGCGACAATGCTGTGATAATTATGAATCTTAGTAAAAACAGTAGTAAAAACAATGTGTGTTTTGGCTTGAAAAATACACATAAATGCAATTACTTCTCCTCAGCCAGACTACAGTTTTGGAAATTATCTCTGACTTGCCAAAGACAATAACAGGCAAGTAGTTACCCAGCAAAATCCCTCTAGTTCAGCTGCACAATAGTACTTCCACCACTGTCTATACTTTATTTGGTTGTTTGAAACAGCATCTGCAATTTCAGGCTGTGCTGTTAAAAAAAAAAAAAACAAACAACTTTTTTGCTTCTAAAGGAATGAACTTTAGTTACTTCACCAAGTATTCCTTAAAGGAGAATAGAGCTAAAAAATAATAAAATGTTTTAACGAGTGTGTTCCCCTTAGGACACTATGAATGGTGTCTCCCAGACAACTGAGTTAAGACACTAGAATCACCTGATAAAACAAGAATGTATTTTCCTCCTTACTTATGACTTGTTTTACAACAGCTTCCAAAACAGAATCAAGATAAATGCGTATACGCATATTTTTGTCTCCCTATCTCCCTCTCCCCCCAAAGTGAGAACCCTGCTCCCAGAAATCTTTGGATAAAGTGAAATATCTACAATAGTAACTTGCTTATCAAAGGTGAACTGTATGTGCTTCGTTACGAACTGTATCAACTGTAACCTAGCTAGCACATAGAAAGTACTGATATCAGTTATTTAAAAAAAAAGGTTTTGTTTTTTTTTTTTTAATAACTTAAACTTGTTCTAATCTTAGGGATGGATCTGTGTTGCAAACTGAGGTATTTAAAAAATGCTTTTTTTGTTTACTAGTTGGTCAGCCTCAGGAAGAACAAAAAAATTGAAAATAAAAATCAATAATACAATCCTTGTAATAGTAGCATCCTGTCTTATAAAGGGGTAGGGCATACTTACACAGAAAATCTTGTCAAACAAACAGGACATCTCTATATAGAAAGATTATCTCATTACAAATAGTTAACAGAGCACTTTAAGGATCTGCCAGTAAATGTAGTCTATTATAAATAGGAATTGTAATTTTTCAATGCTATGAAATTCTGTAATAAAGTAACTTCATCTAAAATATTTGTTACTTACAGAAAGCTTTTTGAAGGATACAATACAATTAAGTTATGTTTAAATCAACTTCACTGCTCATTTTGACATACACAAAATTTTTGTGATGGTGGGCTATTTTTTTCAATAGGCTCAGGGGGAAAAAATGAGGAAAATCATTCTTTTTTCCTAGAGATTCTAAAGCTTTTTCCCCCAGATCCCTTAGCCAAGATTCTCTTTCCAATCCTCAGAGCTCCACCTTTCTTTATTACTAAGGTGAGATTAATCTTGGATATATATATTCTGCTAAATAAAACATGGCTAGGAAATTTGCTCCACACAGCACTTGCCTCTTCTGCCCGCGCTGTGCCCCTAAGAGGTGTAAGACTCAATTCATTACCCTTTGTTATGTGAAGGATAGTCAGATAAACAAGGTTAGAGGGTGGGAACATATATGACCGATGTCTTCAGGATTAAATGATCCAGTAGGAAGTTAGTCCACAGCAAGTGGCAATGAAAGACACAGTCTCTAAAAATGGAGGAGAGAAGAAGCAGTAGCAGAGACAGGTCAGACTCTAAAGTAAATACCCTCACCTGGTGTTTAGCAGCAGAAGGCTATGCCAAGACAGACACTGCTTAAAGAATTACAGTCATGTTCATCAATGAGAGAGAGAGTAAATAATTTCTGGAAGCAGTCATGCAAACAGCTGGTAGAACTTAGCAAAAAGATAAGTCTCCAACCATGGTCTTAATTTAAACCAAAGCAGAGGGCACTTCATCCATCTACAAACTGAAATACTTTGCCCCTTAGTTTAAGGGTGTCTTCAACTGAACCACTGTCCTTTCGAAGTATCTGGAGCCCCAAAGCCGGGTCTCTAAATCACTGCTGTATTCACAGTGCTACATAAAATGAAATTCAGGTCACTGACTATCTCTCTCTGATGTAATGACTGCAGTCCTCATTTGATACCTAGTACAGTATTTGTATACTGTAAGATGGTATTCCACAACATACACAATTACTCATTCCTCAGTAAGATAATGAAGTTAATCTTCAAGGTGCTACAGTCTTCAGCACCTCTTCTTAGTGAGCATGTCAGGAATGAGACATCCTCTCTTGGAAGACCCTGAAGCTTGCATAGCTGTATTGCAGATAAGGCAGAAGAGGCTCCTTCTTCAAAAATGTAACCAACCAGCTCAATGTGACAACATTAAAATGGTGGGATCCATGAGGAGAGTATTTAAGCTGGATGTTGATTATCAGGACAACAAATTTCTGGGCCTGGTCTCAAAAGAATGTCGTGATGCTGGTCAACAAAACTGACATAGTGTGTTGGGTGGTATCCAGCCTTGCTATCGTCGTTAAGCCCTAAGGTAAGCTGTACATCAGCTCTCACAGCCAACGAACCATCTCTCAGACATTCTTGGATCACAAGCTCCAAGAACAAGTTAAGTATGTCTCTCTGAGACAGTGGAGAGGAAGCTAATTGTGTTCCAAAGAGGAACGGAACAGAGATATTCCATAATACTAATACATCAATGTGTTCAGCACAAAAAGAGGTACGTGTACTCTTATATTGCTCAGATACTGTGCTTCCAATTTATAGTGCTAATGGCACATACTTACCTATAGTGATACGGAGTGTCTCTTAAAACACGTCACTTCTCTGAGATTGAATGTGCTGTCTTCTATGTGATTTTTTTTTTATTATTATTAAGAACTCTTAGTAACTGTTGCTTAGATTTTACATAACTTTACAAAGTCAAGAGGTGCAGAAGTTTGCCCACAATTGTGTAGTATACCTGTGACAAGAATTACAGGGATTACTGAATTGTCTAGGGCAAAAAAAAAAAATCTGCATTTTTCATCACCCCTGAAGAAACATGCAACTTACTACAAGCATGGGATATTTCTTCCACGTACTTAAATTAATTAGAGAGCTACTATGAAAACACTTGTATTTTAATATTTTTGTTTAACCAATTGCTTGGCAGGAATAGTTGCTTACTTTCTTAAACCAGATGATCTACTTCAGATGCACCTGTTTTTCTCACAGTCTATATTGCCTATAGAACTGAACATAGAAAACCCTAAATGTTGATGTTAATGGTTCATAGAAGTTAAATATTTTAAAAAGGTAATACATGTGTTTCTTTGATTTGCTGTAATCTTTTCTCTTAAAATACTCTCCATTTTTATTACTGATCTCAAATACTGATCTTTTACAGTGTCTTTCTGGTTTTGAAGAAGGCAAGGAAGTAAGTCTATAATAGAAATTGTGTAAGTCTTAAAAAAAAAAAAAAATCCCCAAAGCTTTAATGTTTTCTCTTTGAAACACTATCATGCAGAAGAAAAACTTTTTGTTTTTTAAACAGGATTCTTGCTCTTTTTTCTACCAATTACAGAACTATTTTCTACCTTTTCTTCTCCCTCTCCCCCAAAACAGAGAGTGAAAGAGGACCCTGGGTGATAAACTAGGACAGATTACTGGAGATGGCCATAACAGTTCCTGTTCCCATTGTGCACCCTGTTCCTCTCCCAGTTTCCTGCCTCCGTTACTGAGGCAGCAGTACCTGCTGCACCACTGTCCTTTCCAAGAGCAGAAATAATGTAAAGCAGCACAACTTCCGGGTGACTTTAAGGCTCTAGGTTACAAACTACTTTGAGCTGTTGCAAGACAGACAACTGAGCTATCCTCTCCCTGGAGAAAGTGGGACCCAGCTGGAGCAGGAAACAAACCATGTTAATCCCATGATCTGAACAGAGCCCCTAACACTTATTCTAATATAGAAGCTGTTACTTCTAAATTATGCATGCATTACCAAAAGACATCTCTGTCTTTGCAAAATGGAAATTGCAGTAGCTGAACTAGCTACACACTCATAGCTACATGTTGGAAAACAAGATAAAAATGTGGCTGGGAATAGAACTAGACATTCATGTTCTGTGCCAGTGAAGAAGTCCTCTTTAGAAACAGTACTGCTGAAATGTTAGATAACTATATAATGCTCAAACTGTAACTAACAAATTCTCTCACAAATATAGGCAAATCTATTTTAAATGTAAATGTTAAGTGGAAAATATTTATAGTTTAAGTTGTACCCTTTGCTACTTAATTACCATAATTTAAAAAAGAAGAAACCTTTGAGTTCCTCCTCCAAAGAATTTATTTACCTGAACTGTAGCTTGGGAGTCCCCAGTAGTCAGTCTGTTCTGAGATTCTCATCCCACTGAATGTCAAGGACCCAGTATTTCAAGGATAGGATTTCAAAATCACTTAGTGATGACTTAACTTTGTCTCACTAAAGATAAACCAACCTTTATTCCCACTCAGGTCAGCTCATTGATTTCACGGAAAACACATTTAGAAAGCAGAGCTGAGTATTTTCAGAAATTCCACCCATGAGATAAAAAGGACAAAAAACCCAACAAACAGAAACTGATATAAACCATTTGAGACTTCTAGATGCATGATAAATCAAGTATTTTTGTAGATTCGTGTGTATTACAAGTAATTGAAATTACTTTTAACCGCTCGATGAAATGTTATAACCTCAAATACCTTACCTTCTTACTCTTCAGATACAGAACTCTGTTCTTTGAGGAAAACCCGATTTTGTCCATGTACAGGAGATTGTGCTAGAAACAATAATAGTTCTGCTGAAAGATTAAGAAGAAAAATACACTCACTGCTCTCAATATCCATACTGAATAATACTGAACTTGTTTTATGTTCTACTCTTGTCCTACTTTGGCTTCTGTGGAAGTGTGTTTAATAAAAGTTTGACTTCACGTACAGCCAGAATCCATTCTCACCAACAAGAAAACCTAATACGCTTAAGAATATTGTTCTTTAAACATGTTAAAAATAAAGTCAGATTCATGAAAGCTCTCAAATTTTATAATTCTGTAACATTTATAAAAAAGCATTTTAAAATTGGTATCTGGTAGACACTATTCATAGTGTTCATACTTCAAAATAAAACCAGAAAATTTAAGAAGTATCTCCAGAATAAATTCTCTGTTGTGATGATTTCATTGAAATGTGTTCCAACTTTTGGAACTTCACTGAAGCAACGTCCTCCTTTTCATTAGAACTATCCTGATTTAGAGTACCTTAACAGTTCAAAAGCGTTTCTGATTCTTAGTTATCTGTTACATTTATAAAGCATTTATTTCAAACAATATTTTCATGTTTTCTCTAAGTATAAGGGGACTAAAGTAAAGGCTTACACAAAAAAAGTACTGGGTTTTCTATATCACTGAAGTTCTTAGGCATCAGTACCATACCAGGATGGCATTGATAAAAAGTTAAGCACGTGCACAAAAACATGCAGAACAGGAGCCACTGTTTCTGGACCCAAAAGATACAATAGTATTAAATTTTTTAAATCTCATACTTTTCATTCTGTAGGATTTTTAGCAAGACAAATGGTATGGTTAAGGCTTCTCAATTCATACATGTATTAGCAACAAAGTAGACAGGTATCATTAAAAGGTTATAGATTTGCATGCACCACTGAAAAAGCTGACAAACTGTACTCTGCCTTTCTGATATGAAGCAATCTGGTTGTTTGGGCTTTTTCTCAAATTACCATGTGTTTGACTACTGGTTGGAACACCAAACCCATAACTAGTGAGAGAACCCCTGCAGTTTGCAATGAGAACACAGGAAAAGAAACTCAAGTACCTGTTTAAATATTAATAATTATTTTATTACTCTGCTGCTAACACTTCTTATTGAACATACATTGCGTACAGTTCGCATGCAGAAAATAACTGTAAACCAACTTCTGCTGTGAAGGCATTATTATGTTAGAAAAATAATTGGATGTCTAGAAAAAAATAAACACAACGTACAATAACCATTCATCTAAAACTAAATCCTGATCCAGTGTTACCATGCCAAGATTTGAAGATCCATTTTAGGAAAAAAATTCTGACTGGCAGAAGATTCAAAAGCTGATTGATTTTTTTTTTTTTTTTTTAAATAGAAAATTTGAAGTTATTCCAAGTTGTGAAAGCCTGACAGTGGCTTCCTGTTCCTTTCCCCTCAATAATTTGAGACTTAGTAATTAACACTTACATCCAGAACAACAACTCTGGCTTAGCAAAATACTGAATTCGGAAAATAAACACATAAGAAAACTCTGAAAAAGAACTCTTAGCAGAAGGGGCATTGTGTCATTACGATCATCATAATCTCCATCCTCAACAGCTACTTCAGAGATAATAAATTTTCTAGACAACAATTTCCCTCCATGCATCTTGTAAGTATGCATGCTACTGCATGTGCCTTTTCATTTCAAGATCCTTTACGTGTCAAATGACCAACACAAAGGCTGCCAGGTTCTGACATGACCCTGCATGTATGCTAATTTAAACAAAATACCAGCCTACCAAAACCAAATAAATATTATTTTAAAAATAACAAAGAAAAAGTACTTACCTGAACTTGACAAAGCACCTCTTGGCTGCATCGGTACTGTTTCCCAAATGAAGGCTCTTCCTTGCAAATAAGTGAGCTTTCTTCAGATCATTATTCTGTGGCACAGGCTCCTCCAAATGGTAGAATGAATGTATTGCCATTATTGAAAATTTACAGATAATCTGAAGAAATTGAACTGAAAGCAAAAAATACAGTGTCTTTATTTTGTGTAAACTTACTGGAAAGACTTTACTTAGTTTTCAAGAACTTGTTATTTATCAGTAGTATTTAAAAACGCATGGAGGATATGTATATGCACTGATTGATAAAGTAAGTTGATAAATGAATTAACTAAACTGGAAGGACAGTTCATTTGAGCAGAAATACCCAGGTAAAGAACTTCCATGTAATGCTACTGTGGAGCCCCATATCAATAATTTTTACAGCTGTTTCTTTTACAGTGGGCACATTGCAAATAAGTTTTCACCAGGGCATCTATAATGATACATGTATATTTGCAGAACACTTACTTGTAATTAAGAATTATCTTCAAGTAGTTCAAGTTATTCCTTCCAGTGTGAATTACTTTTTAACTGCAAATACTGAATGACATCTACCATTGTTATGCTAAAATATCCAGCCTTAGAAGATTTCCCGCAAATTCCTTTCAACTTTCTCTGATTTTAGAGAATGTGTATAGCATTCTATTTTGGATGCTTATTTGAAGACAAGATTAATTACTTCTAAGACAGATTCTAGAGGCATAATTTGATGAACATCTATTTTGATAAAAGTGCCAGTTCAAACAGAGGTAACCCTCTTGCTGTTTATTCTCATCCTTGTGCCACAACCTCATTTGTGCAGAGGGATCTGCTGGTGGAGCCACTCGCTACACCATATTGAGGAACTAACTTGGGTTCAAAATTGCTGCTTGCCATAAACTTCACTTAAAGTTAGGATCAATTTTCTGATCCAAGTCACTGCATGACGACACAAATGACTGTGTTAATACAACAGGAGGGAAAATGAGAAAACAAGAGCACATAGCTAATTGCAGCTACAAATGTCAGCACTTCAGAAACTACTGTTGTCACCCAAGTGTAAATTACAAGGTAGATAGATCCCAGCTTTGCCACTGAAAGCAGTATAGGATATTCTTGGACTGCTTTATCTTTCATTTCCATCTCTGCGTCACAGTTCACTGTCCCCACAATTGCACCAAAAATTGGTGCTTGTAGGGCCACACCAAAATTGCTTGGGTTACACTTTCCTACCAGAGGCCACACGTTGCAAATTTAAGCAGGTGGGATGAACTACACATGGCACATGAGTATATGAATATGTACGTGGGTGCATCTCTCTTTTCCACTAACAACAGAACCAACCTAGATCACTGTTCAGACTGCTAAAGGCAGAAGAAATTAATGCTGTTTAAAGTGTCTGACAAGGTTATGCCTGACCCTTTCTAACTCTTGAATCCACTACCTGGTTTGAAACAGTTCCGTTACAGTTTAATAAGAATTCAGAGATTTCAGAATTCCACATACTGGGCAGGTTGACCCACAAACTGAAGGAGAGGCTGCAGCATATGCCCATGTAACTAGAGAACAGACACATACATAAGAAACACACCTTATAAATGCCCCAGCTGCAGCTGGTACTTTTCATTACCTCTAAGATACAACCACATAGGAAACTAGGCACTGTTAGATCTTGTGCTCAGAGAACTACTTGACTATCCATTTACTATTCAAATCTCCTTACGTGGCGTTAAAATACAAGTCCTTGGTCTGCAAGTTCCAGATCTGCTCCTTGTGTTCAGTTTAAAAGTACAGTAGGTACAACACTTGATAGCTTCTGGTCTCCCAGCACAGCCTCTCACCCTAATGAGATGCACTCTTCTTCCCAGATCAGCCCCTTCATCCTTTAGAACCACTGAATGAATGAATCTCATTGAGTCCTCATGACTTAGGGGTCCCTAGCACTTTATTCTAGAATTCAGTCTTTTAATTCTCTAAACAGATAATCAGATAATGTCCCATCAACATTATTTGAAAAGAATAAAAAGTCCTCAACATCTCTGTGGTGAAGAGTAGCATAAAAAGAAATCACTCTGCTCCTTCCTAGTGCTTCTTATGCCTTTTATTTGCTTTCTATACACCCTAAAGGTCCAGGAGGCCTGACAAGTCCTTAACACATTACTTACTATGTTATCATCCTCCTTTTCTTTTTAAATAAAAGCATACACAAACAACCAAGTATTTTCATGAAATATGCTGCTACCAACAAGACATGACAACTGTATTATGTTGCTGTGGTTAATTCACATATTTGGAAGGGTTAAATGTTATATAAAAACATTTCTAGTCACACGCATGTGAAAGTGATTGGCCTTTTACAGCCTGCAATTTTGAGATTTCCTCCCTCATCACCAACTTCTTGCTGAAGAGTAAATAATTAACAATTCTAAATGAGAACAGTTGAAGAGCTATCAGTACGTACAAATTTTACCCACAGGAAAGGAATTTGTATGAATTCCCTGCACATATTAATGAGAAGGATCATACTACAGTTAATCAAAATACAATTTATTAAATAATGATAAAAACTGTTCAGCTTAATAGTCACTTAACATGTACTGTTTATTAAACTCAACCAGTTGTGCCTCGACATCTACACATATTCAGAATCTACACAGTATATTTTAACAGTGGGGATTTTTTGGGGCATGGTGATGGGTTTCTTTGTTTATTTTCTAAACATAAGAATGCCCTCTTACATTCTGGGTCCTTGCTTTGGAAAGTTTTTAGGGCCTCGAGCCTTTCTTAGACTGCTAACCTGCAGTGATGGCTTTGTTACCATTGTCTCAGTGCTAGTGGTACCTGAATTAGGCAGGGTAAGATAAGTCCATTCACACAGCCCAGCTGCACATAAACCATCAAGTATTCAGGCACTCTGCTCTGGACTAGTTCCAGAACTAGAACCAGAGAGTCAACTGTATGCTAGGAAGGAATTCCTATACAAAGAATTCTATCTGATATAAAACTGTATACAATGAATTTGATGTAATACACAAAAAGGCATGTGTGCATCTCTTACTGTTTTCAATCTTCAACTTGGGTCAAAATTGTAACTCCATGCTACAACATTATGCAACAGGTAAAATAACTGCAGTGATTTGCTAGAGCTTATCTTATTCAATTAATATGTTTTTTAGAAGTGAGATATCTTTTTGCATAATACAAGTGTGATAATCATAAGATCATTCTAGTTGGAACAGGCCTCAGAGGTCATCTAGTTCAACCTCCTGTTCAAAGCTACATTAATATGTGAATACTTGTTAATGATATAGGTCGTACTCTTAACCTTGCAGACCACTAATCTCATGTAATCCTTAATCAAATGCACTCAACTGCCTTTGATAGGATTACTTATCTGCAGAAGGGTTTGTGGGACCAGTTACTTGCCGTACATTACTCCTAAACATGGCACATTATAGTACTTCCCAGCTACACCTGTAACCAGTATCACACTTCCATTTCACTTGCAATGTCTTTTGGGCAGGTACTGTTTTGAGAGCAACTTCTGAAGTGGGCCTGTGGGACTGTTGTGGTTTAATCCCAGCCAGCAGCTCAGCCCCACCCAGCCGCTCACTCACTCCCTTCTAGTGGGACGGGGGGAGAGAGTCAGAAGAGTAAAAGTAAGAAAACTCATGGGTTGAGATAAAGACAGTTTAATAGGTAAAGCAAAAGCCATGCATGCAAACAAAGCAAAACGAGGAATTCATTCACCACTTCCCATTGGCAGGCAGGGGCTCAGCCATCTCCAGGACAGCGGGGCCACATCACTTGTAACAGTTACTTGGGGGGACAAACGCCATCGCTCCGAGTGTCCTCCCAGCTCCTCCTCCTCCCCCCAGCTTTATATGCTGAGCGTGACACCACATGGCACGGGATATCCCTTTGGTCAGTTGGGGTCAGCTGTCCCGGCTGTGTCCCCTCCCAACTGCTTGTGCAGCCCCAGCCCACCGGCCGGCGGGGCGGCAGGAGAAGCAAAAAAGGCCTTGACGCTGTGTGAGCGCTGCTCAGCAAGAAGGAAAACATCCCTGAATTATCAACACTGTTCCCAGCACAAAGCCGAAACACAGCCCTATACTAGCTACTATGAAGAAAATTAACTCTATCCCAGCCAAAACCAGCGCATGTGCATGAGTAGATTGTGATATATAAGAATAGAATGTAGTGAAGTGGGGGGTGATAAACCAGTACGTGAGGCAGGAAGCACAGAGTTGGGTCCTGGTTGCAGGTGTTTCACAGGTTGGTGAATATAGGATAGAGCTCCTGCTCTGAGAGATACCTACAAAACCAGAGAAATTAATGCAATTGGCATCAACAGTCCTTTAATCATCAATGCCAGTGACTGAACTTCAGCAAAGTTTTGGAACCTCTCCTTAAGTACTACAGTTTTATTTTGTTCTTCCAATTTAGCTCTGATGAATACAAATCCAAAATGGAGATCCTTAAGTTTACACCTTTCTTTCATGCATGAAGAAGTGATTTAATATGGTACAGCATTGCTAATAATAACAAAACAAACAAAAAAAAAAAATCACTGAAACAATCCAAACATAAAAAGAAAAAAGTTGATATGTTTTCTAAAACCATGATTACCCAACAACACAAGCTGAATTAGAGAATAAATTTGCCTTAAATTAGTTCAGTGACATTCCTCTGTTCTGAAGCATGAAACAGTAGCAGTTCATCTGTGCTGTGTGGTGATATGTGAACTCTGCCACACTAACCAAAGAGAGAAGAAGAACTCATCTTCTAAAGAATGATTTTATTTAAACATTTATTACCTGTTATTGTAATTAACTTCTGCTATTAATAAAACTTAACTAAAATTAGGTCTGTTTAAAACAACTGAAAGAGAACCTAATACTTTATTTACTTTGTTAATTTATTAGGATTTCATGGTCATTTTTCTTTACTGTGGATGCTTTACTGTAAACCATAAAAATGCTATTTAAGTAACAGTAACAAGAAATAAACAACAGCAGGATATATAGAAAGAAATTGACTTTAGCAGCTTTGATAACTTTGGTCTTAGGCCTGTTGGAAAGGCATTTTTAAACACCAGTATTTTAAAAAAATACACTGGAAGCCTTTTGAATGCTACCATTCAAGACACTATTTACATGCTTTCCCCAAGCATTCATTAACAGCCACTACAGTCTGCTAGGTTGCACAGAGGGCCTGTCCCTATTTGACCTGATATACTAGCTCTTACAGTACAGGGTACTCCAAGAATTTGACTCTTAATTATCCACAAAAAATAGTTGAATTTGGACCTCTCAGCAAACTCTCCCACCAGCATATAGGTGGCAGAAGGCAGTTCACGTGACGGTGCACATGCATCAACCACACAATCATGAAAGGAACATGTTTGAAAGATGTAGGTAGGAAGCACCAAGAGGCAGGAATCAAGCAAGCAATTCTAAAGCCAAAAATGAGAGATCAGACAGATCCCCAAACTGAAAGAATATCTTCACCAGCAGAATTTCCACCTTAAATATCTTTATTTTATAGTTCTGTCAAGAAACCTTTAATATTTTTCTAATTAAAAGCTGAACAATTGATTCTACTAAATATTTAAGTTCCCTTTTAATACCAAACTATATTGCTTTTGTATTTTAGAAAACAAAATTTTACTAAAGAATACTCGTTTGCAACAAAACTAACTGCATTTCCATGTTTGTGGTAACCTTGTATAGTGGTAGGGTGTTTGGCATTCTAGTTGAGACAGAAAGTTCAATACCTGACTACCAAGTAACAAGTCACTGTCCTGGCACCTTGTCTGAGGGAAGAGTGAACAAATTTCAAGGAGAAGCTCTCATGGTAGCTTACAAAGACAGATATGCCCAAGCCTTGTTAGGTGCTGCTGCCATATAAAAAGCAGGTAGGTGATTCTGGGTTTTGCCCAAGGTGTGAAGCTACTTTCCTGACAACTTTGACTAGAAAACAAACAAGAAAAGAGCAAAAAGAAAAAACTTGTGAATGTCAATTATACTGTATTATATACAGAGAATGACCTCAGTATGCAGATGACGTGAGATCAGGACACCTCAAAAACTTGTGCACTAACACACCACAGGTTATGTGAAAATTACCAGTGTAGCTAGTTAATAACATTTCTGATGTAAGGAAAAAGCACTATTAGACTGAAAAGGACAATTACAGCCATTCCCTTCTGTTCTAAAGGCAAAGGTAGAAATTATGTGTTATGTAGAACAATTACTGAACATTATCACAGCTTTGGAACATACAATCTCTAATTTTAAAGCATAAAGAAAGGTTGAGAGATTGACAGGGAAGAGGGCAGACAATTAAATGCATTTAACAGGCCAGTTAAGTTGCAACACATGGGAACGAGAGAGGTGGTAAATTTACATCAGCAAACAAGAAGGTAGTTATATTCGGTTTCAGCTAGAAGTTGAACTATTGATATTTTCAGCTCCAGGGTAAAAAAGGTAATATTTTTTTTGTCACCACCATCATTCCTGCCGTCTACTCCCCACATCCCCCGCCAACACAGACTTAGGCATAAGAATTATAGAAAAATGCTCTACAAACAATTTGGGGATTTTTTTTTTTTAAACATTTATTTATTTTGAGAAGGATAATGGTCTCCAGGCCCAAACTGTTTGTTTTTTGAGGGTGAAGAACCACATGTATTCTTACAACAACCAGCATAACAAAACTCAATCATGATGTGGCCTTTCAGCACTACCACAAAATAAAAACTGACATATAAAAATATCCATGTTCTACACTTAATAAAGACAAATATTTTATTTGATTAACTGTAACTAAGGAATTAATTCATACCATCAGATTTACTAGTTGTTTCAGAAATATACATCAACACCAAGCCTGGTACTACGTTTTCAGGCATTAAGAAAAACCAAACACCAAAGGATAAGCCCATGAAAAACGGGAAAGATTTTGCAAAGGCTTCGAGTTCACACAGAATTAGTCCCATCAAGTTTAACAAGCTATCTAGACTCATGCAATTGTGTGCAAAATCAGGGAAGTATGCAATATGCTGGCAATTCAATAAAGAGGAGATGGGACAGGTATTTTTAAACCCTTCATTAGCATTAGTCTTTCTTTGCATTTATATAGCCCTCACCAGAGAGAGATGCCAGCAACTGGAGCCTCTGCTCACACATAGTGTCAGTGGCTATAACAGTACTAGCAGCCTTACACAGGATGTTTTCCTAAATGGGATTGTAGAAAGCAAAAAAATCCAAGACTAAACAAGAAAAGGAGCACAAGATAATGGTGATAAAATTTAGCTTAAGTGTCTTTAAGTACCAGAGAGAAAAGTCTCTAATGGATAGGTAACAATATGCCAGTATAAGTTTAACTAGATAAGTAAGAATGGATAATCTGTCACTTTTAAACTTTTCACAAAATATATCATTACTCCATCTTTCTCAGTATGGATTGCTATCTTACCAGCACAGAATCAGTTTACCTGAAGAGATTCCTTCCTTTTGAAAGTACCAGAAACTGGAATACATGAAGAATATCATAGGGCATGTTGTAGAGTGAAACAAGAACCAGTTAATTTCTTTGACAGCAAGGGTGTTAATATTCTTTGTTCTGCTAACATCTGAACCAAGTTCTGCAGGCAAGATATTTAGAAACTTTTTCCAAGAGTCACAAGGGTTTGACTTTAATTAATATGCTTGATTATCACTTATTTTCAAAAAAACCAAAACAGCTAGCCTTCAAAGCTACTTTGAAAACAGAATGAAACAATTAAATACTTTGTTAAAGAGTCATGTCATATCAAATACTGCATACTTGCATAGAGAGAATTTGGAGTTGATTTCCCTTTTATAAATACACACAAAAGAGAAACAGCACATTTTACATTATCTGAATTTTCCTAAGTCCTATAAAACACTGCCTTCAGCTGCTATTGCTGCAAATCACCATTCTCAAAATTACCTTACTGATAAAATGAATTACCTTACTGATAAAATGCCTTTGAATGCCACAAGTCAATCACTTACTACTATAATCACAACTAAGAAAAAAAAAAAAAAACACAAAGCAAAATAAGAAAACCCCACACACCTTAGAAATCTCAGACTTTCTTGCAGAAGGATAGAAAGCCAGTATAAAGGCCAAACAAAAAGGAGAGTTAAATATAACCTGCCTTTAAAGAGCAACACCAATTAAAGAAAAAGCAGTATGAGACCAGAAACCAACACATCATATTTGGGCATCAAACACTATTCTATGATTTGTTCACCTAATTTCAAAACACTTTGCTTGTTCTGATTGTTTTTATTTTGTACATCATGTAACCAATACACAATAAAACTTTCACATCAGTTTTTAAAGCCCTTACCATCATAACCAAGCTAGCCAAGATCTTTGCCCTTACAAAGACATGAATTTTGTTTGACTATTGTTATATTACCTCATGCTGGGTCCCATTCAATTTCTTCCATCCACATCAAAATGTATTTTCTATTTATGCTGGCCTGCACTAAGAGTAGCGATCTTACACCATGATGCCACAGGAATGTAACCTAACTACTGGAAGCATCCTAAGGACACAAGTGCATAACACAGTGACAATGATCATACCAAACATCACCCATTTTACACAGGTTTCTGAGGTAACATTTAATCCTTGATAGTTTCCCACTAGAAATATTCCTGAAAATAAATAATTTCTGCAAACACAAAAGCTACTAAGCTTTGGCTATTGTTCTCTACTGGAATAGAGTCAGAAGCATACAAGCTGTAGGACAGGGGGGTAAAATAACTGAAAGAATAGAATGAAAATTAAGAAAAAGTATTTTGAAGGCCAGCTGCAATTCCGAAATGGAAATCTTTGCAACGATTCCTGAGAACACTGTATCAGGCCAAAAGTGTTCAGTTTCTCTCTTTGCTATGGAGCAAAGAATATGCTCCTGTTAAAGATGACAACATAGGAGCTACTCTTAAGAACCAAGAGAAAAGAATTTACCTTTAGCTCAAAACAGTGACCAGATTTCTCTGGCTCTGCAAAGGCTTACAGACACCATAGTAGGGAAACAATGTAGCACTTATTTTCAAAAGTATAGGGAAGAAAAAAAAAAAAAAGTCATAAAAATATCTTATAAGAGGTTTTTACTCCAGAAAAAAAAGGGTTTAAACAGGTAGCAGCTGACAGAAAAGACCCTGGCCTCATGTTTTAACTCCTGATTTTACAACCTCTGTCTTAAAAAAGATCTTCTCTTTGGTTAAAATACTACAATGTACTACATGTATACATTAAATCAGTAATGTTAGTAGACTGTGGACTTAAAAATAGTTATGAAATGCAAGAAAGTTTGCCATCACAGTAATCTGGACTTTATATGCACAAAAATTACCAAAATTGAGATTATTGTGATGAAGTTTTCTTGTGGTATATATTTAACAAAAGAACATGAATATTGTATTTAAGCATTAAACAGAAAAAAAGATTTATACATATAACTATTTATCTTATTCTTCTTACATTTCCAAAATGGCCCTTTGCAAGTTTAAATTTTAATGTTTTTTTGTTAGCTTTTGGAAAAAGAAGAAGTAAAGTCAAGGAAACATAAAACCTGAGAAACAAAACCTTTAGAGCAAAAATTTTCAGTTGGTACCTCCCACTCCATATTCAGTTTCTCAGGGACCACCATGCAGCAGCAATCTGGTTAGAAGTAAGCAGCCAACGGGTGTGTAATTTGCATGTGAAAATATTTTTAGAAGACACACATGAATAGCATATGTTCTCAGCCCAAGTACAATCTTCTAAATATATGCATTGTATATTATTTCTCCAACATTTGTAATTATTTTCCAGATAATAATTCCTGGTACAGTTATGTTACTCCTTTAAAACAATATATATATATATCAAGCCTTAAACAACACTCATTTTAGAGTTCACCTCGGGGGCTGAGGGGAGACTGTACTGTTTAATTTTTCTCCTCCATAGCTGAACATGTTAACAGAAAAAGAGGTTTTTTTCCTGTTACACTACATGCCAAGAGGCTTCAGACACGGAAAGTGCCCATTCCAGATATGCCTTTTAGAAGTACTGTAATAAATTAAAATTAATTAATACTTAAACTGTTTTAGTCTTTACTGTCAATGTAATCGCAAAGTTGGCAAATTATGCTTGAAAACAAAGGACACCCTGATTCAGAAAGCTAATTCAGATATATATGTTCACTTCACTGAACCAAAGCGCCTTCAAAAATTTTATGAGAAAACCCTTCTGCTCTTCCTATGTTGAGAAAAAGAGTTAAATAAGGTAAAGATGGAAGTCAATAAACCCAGGAGTAAGCCATGCGCTCATACATTGTTAGTTAATTCTAAGCCAAATCTAGTCAAACTGATACAACATGTCAGAGAAAACAATGCTTGAACAAATAGCAGTCTAACTAGATCCCAAAGTCATTACCAGTCCACATCTGGAACACCCAAACCAATTCCTGATGCCTCTGGAGTTTGCACCATGTAGTAATTATTAGTTTAGGATGGTTTTGTTTAGGCCAGATGAAGTTCTATTGTATTGTAAGATGAAAAACCTCATTTTCTTTTCTTTGCCAACACGAAAACTTTTTTTCTCAAGCCCATGGGAAAACTCAGGTCTGGATTCTTTCTTTGGCCCATTCCTTTATTCAGCTTGAATGTCGGGGAGGAAAAAAAAGAGGGATGCCAGTAAATTATACTGTGGTACTTAACAGTATATAGAAAATACCTGAAATCATAGAATGGTTTGGGTTGGAAGGGACCTTTAAAGGTCAGCTAGTCCAACCTCCCTGCAATGAGCAGGGACATCTTCAACAACATCAGGTTGCTCAGAGCCCTGTCTCAAACACTTCCAGGGGTGGGACACCTACCACCTCCCTAGGTAACCTGTTCCAGTGTGTTTTACCACAGTTGTCAGAAAAAATGTCTTCCTTACATCTAGTTTGAATCTACCCTCTTTTAGTTTAAAACTGTTATCCTTTGTCCTACCGCTACAGGCCCTATTAAAAAGTCTGTCCCCAAATATAAGTTAACTTACCAAGAAAAGCTGGAGGGGGGGAGGAGGCGAAGGGAGACAAAACAGAAAATGGAGGCATTAGGTAGCTTTAAAAATCTTAACAGCATCAAGTAATGAATTCTAACTGATAAGAGAACTGGAATCTCTACTGGAGCTTTTTCAAAGCCAGTCCATGCTAAAAAGCAAGAAGAATGTCTACTTAATCATTCTAGAGCACACACACACACACACAAGCAAACACCTTTTACCACACCATCTGTTAGGCTGTATACACAAGCTTACGTTTGGTGGAAGCCCAAAACTAAACAACAGACCCTAGTCACTCCTAGAAAAAGTAAAAAGCTACAATGAAAACAAGCTAAAAATTTATTAATGAAATTAATAAACAGATCATATATTAACATTCATACATTCAGGTACTGTATTTTAACCATAAGTAAGTATTACTAGGGCTAAAACCAAAATACTCAGAGTCCTAAAACAGCATGAGAAAAATCATTGCATACGTGCAACAACCTAATGAAACTACTTAACAACATTATTCATTAGATTGTATTATTCGGCCAGGTCTAACAGTCAAATAGAGCAATTGAAAGTGAGATTAAATACACATGCTGCATTTGACACGTATGTAGAAACACCAGTCTCAATGCCTGTAGAGTTAATCATTCTCTTCTCCTACTCAACATATCAAAAAGCGCTTTACTTTTTATGAAAGTACAGAGAAAAAATACATTCTCCACAATGAAAGCACTGATGAATCAAAACCCAAGATCAATCTAAAAATAAGTACTCCTCACAAAATTATTACCGAGTTTCATTACAATCTTTCTCCAGTCAGGCAAACAACTTCCTCCAATAGATCAAAATACCCTCAAACATTAATTGAAACTTCAAAACATTGCTGTACCAGTTAAAGGACTAACTACAGCACAAAGCCAGGTTATGGGTGCTACGATGGAGCCATCATCCTAATAGATTATTTCACAATGCAAATGATACAAAGCTAAACGTTTTTTTAAAAATGCAACCAAGAGGAAAGTGTCAGCAAAGCAGAAGCAGGCAGTAAGAGAGAAGGAATTTTCTGCGCTATGACTAGAACAATTTCCTGGCTCATTCCATCCTCCAGCCCCGGGGACCAGGCTGGCTTGGTCCACCCCGACAGCCTTGACGCAACTGAAGCGGAGCACTGACCTAAATGCCGTCGCTGCTGAGCTCCTTGCAGCTCACGCTCGAGGAAAAGGGGCCAAGACGGATTGAAAAGCTAGCATCGAGTACTCGAGCTGTCTCAGCCTGGCACTGCTAGTGCAGGAATACTCCTGGGGACCGAGAAACCCCTCCACCACCACCTCAACCTCTTGAGACTGAAACCTCCAAAATAGAAAAAAAACCAAACAAACAAACAAACAAACAAACAAAAACAAACAAAAAAAAGACTGCAAGGCAAACTTGAGGCTGCTTAAGAGATTTTCAAAAGGGAGTCTGCCCATCACCGCAGCGCTTCCGCAGAGCCGGCAGAACCAGCATCCCGATGCTGGGAGGGACAGGCAAGGCCCGAGGTACCGCACCTCGGACAAAAGGTTAAACCGCATCCCCCCCCGGCGTGATTTTAAGCAGGTGCTCAATGAACTGCTGATTAATCCCCGACTCCCCGCCCCGAGCAACGCGCGATGGTGGCGTTGCCAGGGGCGGCGCGGTCCCTCCCGTCACCGTGGCGGGGCCTGAGGGCTGGCGGGGGCTGCCGCAACCCGCCGGGCTGCCGCGCCTCGGCGCTCCGGGCCGCTCCGAGAGCGGAGCGCGGCCGCCGGGTCAGCGGCTCCGCCTCGCCGGGAGCGGGGCGGGCCGGGCCGGCATGGCGGCGGGGGCGGGCCGGAAGCTGCGCAGCGGCCGGGGGAGCGGCGGCGTGGCCCGCGCGTGACGTTGCCGGCCGGCCCCGAGGCGGCGGGTTAACGGCCGGGCGCGCGGGCAGGCCGCTGAGGGGAGGCGCGCGGCCCCGCCGGCGCTGAGGGAGCTCCGGGTCTCTCTCGGGCCGCGGAGGCGCGGGGAGCCGAGGCCCGGCGGCGGGCAGCAGGTGAGAGCGGGGCCCGGCGCTCGGCGGGTCACGCCGAGCCCGGTGGCGGGCTCGGGGTGTGTGTGTGTGTGTCCGTTCGGCGGCGGGGCGGTTTGTCCGACGGGTCTCCAAATGCCGACTGAGTATTTCATGTCTTGAGCCGCGCGGTGGAGGTGTGCGTTCCCTCTGCTCGCGCAAGGGCCGCTCGATAAAAGATGGGCTCGGCGAGGTGCTAGTGCGTGTGTGTATATACATATAGTCCCCTTGCACAGTTTTCTAACGTCCTAACAACTCGCTCTGTAAACACGTTTTCCTTCTACAGTCGTTCCGTAGCGTATGGATCACTCTGGAGGTGGATTAAGAACTACGGAGGCTGTTTAACCGTAGATCTGTCTGGAACAACCGAGCACCTTTTGGTGTTGAAGGAAGGGCAGCGACGGGCGCAGTGGGCCAGCGCAGCCCGGTGACTAGTTAGCTGGCATCCCACCCCTGTGCCCCTCACTGCCACTGCCTTGGGTCAGAGACTGAGGCTCTGCCTGCGCTAAATGCCTTCCTGAAATCCCTCGTCTCTTAACTGCAGCTGTAATAACGAGTTTAAGCTATATTTTTCCCACGCTAACTCACATTTTTTTTTTCAGAAGGACTGAACAATTTGTCAACAAAACATGTAGTACCTGTCCCTTGTCATATACCCATAAAAGCATTTAATATGAGGAGTTTTAAGAGAAATCTGACTGTAGAAGAAACTTTTAGAACAGCAGAGTAATGACGCTGCATGCTGATTTATTCTGCAACTTCAGTAGTGTTATCTTTATTTGACTTTGTCTGTGTTAGGTTTCTTGCAGGGAAGAAATCTGTGTTTGCTTCCATGTAAGGGAGATCTTTAGTTCTGCCCAGCATTTGTAGGCTGCACTGTAGAGAGAGTTACTTTGTGATAGCCATGAGGTCTTGTTACTGTTTCAATTAATGGCATACATTTTGTAGACAAAATATTAATTTGGGGGGGAGGGGGCTGTGAGTTGAATATTTATATTTACGACCTCAGATAAAGAAAAAACATAATACTCTGATTTCTTCTTGCATAAAGAATAGAGAGGTAACTAATAACACAATGGAAGGGTTTTTTTTATTTTTCACTTTTGTTTCTTTTCATCTCTTCAATATCCCCTCGATGAAGGAAAGAAGACTTATAAGGTGATTTACAGGAAGGTCATTTTTAAGTGTCCCTTTCGCCTTTAAACAAGGAGGTGTTCTCCTCACTGTAATGTAATCGGTGTTCTGTCACCTGCTTACTGCAATTTGTAACTGATTTTTATTTATAAGGTACTGTTTTCTAAGATAAAGCTCCCTATTATCAAAAGGTCTAGGTCCCTTTTACCATAGAATCATGCAGTGGTTTGGACTGGGAGGGACATCTAAAGATCATCTATTCCAAACCCCCCTGCCCCGGGCAAGGCCCCCTTCCCCCAGCCCAGGGTGCTCCCAGCCCCGTCCAACCTGGCCTTGAACCCTTCCAGGGAGGGGGCACCCACAGCTGCTCTGGGCACCCTGGGCCAGCACCTCACCCCCCGCACTGGGAAGAACTTCTTCTTTGCATCCAATATAAACCTACCCTCTTTGAGTTTAAAACTGTTGCACCTTGTCCTCTCACTACAGGCCCTTGTCTTTCCATCTTTCTTATAAACCCCTTTTAGGTACTGGAAGGCCACTATAAGGTCTCCCCTGAGCCTTCTCTTTTCCAGGCTAAACAACCCCAACTCTGTCAGCCTGTCCACATAGGGGAGGTGCTCCAGCTCCCTGACCATTTCTGTGGCCATCATCTGGAGCTGCTCTAACAGTTCCATGTCCTTCCTGTTCTGGGGGCCCCAGAGCTGGACACAGTACTCCAGGTGGGGTCTCACGAGAGCCGAGTCGAGGTGGAGAATCCCCTCCCTTGACCCACTGGCCACACTTCTCTCGATGTAGCTCAGGATACAGTTGGCTTTCTGGGCTGTGAGTGCACATTGCTGGCTCGCGTCCAGCTTTTCATCCACCAGCACCCCTAAGTCCTTTTTGGCAGGGATGCTCTCAATCCCTTTCTCTCCCAGTCTGTTTTGATACCAGGAATTGCCAGGACTCATGTGCAGGACCTTGCACTTGGCCTTGTTGAACCCCATGAGGTTTGCACAGGCCCACCTCTCCAGCCTGTCCAGGTCCCTCTGGATGCCATCCCTGCCCCCAGCGTGTCCCTGCACCACTTGGCTTGGTGTCATCCACAAACTTGATGAGGGTGCACTCAATCCCACTGTCTCTGACATAGATGAAGACATTAATTAGTATTGGTCCCAGTAGAGACCCCTGAGCAATACCACTCATTACTGGTTTCTACTTGGTACACCAAGCTGTTGACCACAACTCTTTGGATGCTGCCATCCAGCCAGTTCCTCATCCATCTAACAGTCTGTCCGTCAAATCTGTATCATTCCAGTCCTTTACCTTTTCCTTGTTTTCTGTCTTCTGCCCCATCAACACTGTAGCTTATTGGGCCTTTTTCTAGGCCAATTTAACTCACTAGAATAGCAGAAAAACTTGTGCTTTACTGAGTTTTCTGCTGTTTTGTGAGTTCAGTTAGCTTGTGGAAAGTCTGATGAGGGTTAGCTGTCAGGGAAGGTGAGGGGGAGAAAGAAGAGGGACCTCCCTACTCTGCAGCAGTGAGCCTTTAGATCAGCTCATCTACTCAAGGAGGCATAACCATAGCCTCCATATACCAGGCCCACAGCATATTTTGCATTACATTTTTTAAGTATCCAGGATAAAAGAACTAGTATAAATTGTTTAAAACATGACCCAGTAAGCTTGAAAGAGCATTCCTGTGTACTTTTCCATCTGTAATGTGGATATTACACATTACCACAATGGGTTGTTTCAGTATTTGCTACAGCAGTCTTTTAATTGGCTGTTTTTCTTGGTAACTGTTGATCTGATGCCCAATTTTTGTACCTTGTGCAAGGATCACTAATAACTTGCTGTAACATTACAAATAATGAAAAGTACAGGCGGGCCATTTGGTACCACTCTGCATATCTACTACTGACCGACCCATTTTATTTGCTTTTTGTGTTCATGTCTTTGAAATAAAAGGACAATTAATCTTTTTTTTTAAATGTTTATTATATCTATAAGGGCAATAAAAGTCTTGGACTCCAGTACTATAATACTATTGCTGGGTGATTGTAGTTAGGGGAGGTATTGTACATCTCAGAACAGAATTTAAGCTTTAAAAAGAACAGAAGGAACAGAACATAACTGAAAAAAATACTTGCTTCCCTTTCGAGAGGGCTGACAGGAAAAACAAGGACTTGCAAAGAAATAAATATGTTTTATATGTTTTAGAAAACCAAGGCGTGCTTAAAAAGGATTAACTTGCAGGTTGTTAGTGTTACTAACCTTGTTGAGTGCGTGTCGTATTTATGTGGTGAGAAATTGTCTAAAGTTCCAGTCATGCGATCGATGTATTTTACTTGCTCTGGAGACCTGACAGTGCTTCAGGCCAAGGAATTAACTAAAAGTCCCCTGAACAAGTTAGAGATGTATTCTTACTAGCTTTAGCATGGAGAATAAAGTTGTTATGTGTGGTTGATATCTGCACAGCTTGCATAAAAAAAAAAAAAAAAAAAGCTTCTGGATAGACTAAATAAATGATAATAGCATTGAGTCACAGCCTGATAGTGCTATTGCCACTGTGAAAAATTTGAGAGTTTGCCTTTCCTTTACAGTCCAACAAACTTCTATACGTTGAGTGAATTCATTAATTTTTGCCTTGAGTGAGCCTGGGGCCGTGCTGCTTCTTGTACACCTTCCAACTCTACTTTGAAAACTAAGCATGTGTTCTAAGGCACATGAGTTGACAGTTTTATGTTCTTACCTTCCATTACAACCGTTAGATTTATAAGTCAGGGTATACTGCCTTTGCATGCTGCAGCCCGGTAATTCTGAAAAGTGCTGCTGAACGCGTTGGAAGTGTCAATAGGACACACCATCATCTCATTTTGACCCTCTCTTAAGTTGCCATTGGCGACTGATTTGAAATGACTTGTTACATTCTCCTACTGCACTTTTTTAATTCGTGTTCTGTTGTTTTTTAGCATTCTGTCCAGTTCTGTAGGGTCTCTCCTTGCCCAGTATTATAAATGGTTTTGGGTTGAACTGGTGTTTACACAGGTCTCCAAGAATGCCTTGGGAAATTTCTTTTTTTGAAACGAACTATAATCTGAGTTGGTGCTGTGGTTTAAGAAGGGGTTGAAAGGACATCATGGGGTGGGAGAGGATGTTACTCAGTGGAAGTAATGAAAAGGGAACAGTCGTGGCTGAAGGAAAGATATCACACTGACTTTGCAATTCAGGTTACCTTAACTATCTCATGCATCTCAAAGAGATATGCATTTATTCTAGTTAGTTCCATTTGAAGTCAACAGGAGCAGAATTGGGTCCCTGTAGTTCTAAACCTCCGTGGTTTTCTGGCTGATTTAAGGTGTAGTTAGCCTCAGGGCCAGTGAAGGAATGGGCTTAAGGAGCTGCCTTCTAATGTGCACTTGGTTCATACTGAAGTTGTCCTCCACAAATGTGTCTGTGTGATATGTGAGAAAGGCAAAATTTGGCCCTGAATGTGAGAAATCATTTGAAGTAGAATATTCAGTGTCACTGGTAAAATATGCAATGGAGTTATATAGCAGTAACTGTGGAAGAACTTCAGTTTGCTAGGAAGTCTGTAACCTTAACAGTAGGAGAAGTTTCAGAAAAGTGGGGGTAGCAGCAGGATGCCCTT